GTAAAAAGTAAACAAGAACCCAATAAGGATATGGTCTTATATACTCTAATTGCCCTCATTGCCTAACCTATTTTCTGACCCCATCTCTACCCCTATCAAAACTCTTTACCCAATTATGTGAACCGTTGTTTTATTGCATTTTCAGGTCCGAACAACCTATACCCAGGGGATCTAATCCCTTTCACGCGAAGACCTCTTTTCATAATCGTTGATAGTGACAGCAGTCATGCATTCAAGGCAGGTTTGTCAAAACTTTATTGGCATCTGTCTACTACACAGTCCGATTAGATCATCTGGTTCAAATGTTGTCTTATTTATTGAGCTAATTAACTGATTGTTGGGGTGATTTTGTTAGTTTGGCCCGTCTAAGACATATGAAGATTCCTTGAAATGATCACCGAACCTTAATGCTTTTTCTTGATTAAAAAGAAACATTGAGGGAGGTGTGGAAATGTTTTTTTCATGATCACCAAGACTAAACTATCCCTATCCAAACCAAATGTCCTAAAAACTAAAAACATAGTTGTCATACTCAGAGAAAGTAGTATTGTTTCATTAATGTCTAGGGCTATTATTCTACTGCTCAAATTAGTGCACCGCTCCTCAGGTTCTCCATGGTGCAGAAAGAGGAGAAAGATGTGCATTGCTTCTGTCTCCTTTGAGACCCTTATATAAGACGCCGAACTCTGATGTAATGAGGAACGGGAGTCAGTTCACCTTCTTCTTGGCCTCTCCTTTACAGGCTTTCTGTGAATTGGTTGGCATCAAACCAAATGAGGATGATAATGATGCAGACACCATAATCTCCACTGCATTTTCTGAGTGGGAGATAATGCTGTGTACCACAAGTAGCCTAGACTTGGTTTGGGCTCAAGTACTGTCTGATCCATTTCTCCGCCGACTTCTGCTCAGGTAAAGCATATCAGGGCTTTGTTTCGATTGAAATGCGATACGATCACATAGGTCAAGTAAAATTTCCAATTGTTATTTACCTAATCGTTTCCTGGCATTCGTTTTTACCAGATTCATTTTCTGCCGTGCCGTGTTCACTCTGTATTGCCTAAAGGAAAACGGTGACCAGTATTTGCCTGTTTGTCTCCCTGAGCTTCCGGATTCGTTCTCTTCAAACTCAGCATCCGAACCCGCCATCAGACGTCTTGCAACCCATCTCAACGTTGCCGATTGCTTCCATCTTTGGTAAGTTTGTGTCATGGTGATGGATAGGCCATTACAGTGTGAAGGATGTGCATAATTAGTCACTTTTCTTACACACAAACATATTGGATTGTAAGGGTTATAGCTAAAACCCATGAAATCTGTACATTCTTTTGATTCTATGGAGATGTAAAGCTCTACTAATTTGTCATTACCATGTTATTCTTCTAATTTCAACCTTCAGTTGTATTATTATTTTCTTTTACTACGTATCAGATTGGTGTAGTACATATTTGTTCATATTGAAGCATATTATGGTTTTGTTTGGTTTCAATTTTTACTTTATTTATTTACAATTGTTATATAGTGAGTAATACTCACAAGGGAGTCTTGGTCTAAGAACATGTTCTATTCCACTTACAATTGTTATTCTTGTTATTTATTTTTATTGGAATTAATTCAGATTAGAAATAATTTTAAATATAATTACATTCAGATCAGAATTTATTTTAATCAAAATCATTCAGATTAGGTGAAGAGAAAATGTTGACCTCATACTTCATTTGGTCCTATTAATTTTCTTTGTTAAATGTAGATTTTGGCTTAAGATAAAATTACTAAACTAGGAGTGAAATATGGAAAACATACCAAAATAGTATCAAAAAATACGGTGGAGTGATATTATATAATGTCATAATGTCACAATACAAATTCTTTTTTTTGGGATAAAATATAAAATTTCTATTTTTAAGACAAGTGTTATGTTTCACTCTTATTTAGTGTGAATGTGTGATATCTTGAGTCTCTAATTTTAGACCATAAAAAAATCAATCAATAATATTACCTTTGTTTTGATGGGGAGAGAAAAGGAGAAAAAAGAAAAGGAGAGGGAAAAAAGAGAGAAAATGAAGAGAAAAAATAGTGTTTGGATTCATAAAAAATAAAAAATGATAACAAAATGTAGAGAAAAAAATAAAAAAGATGGAGATAATAATCTCTTGTGAAAGAGGATGATGTCATCTTCTCATCTATGTTGAAGAGACTTTTCTTCCACTTCTATCTAGTTTTTTCTCATCCCTCATTTTCACACTAAAACAAACAAAAAAAAAAATATTATCCTCTAAAGGAAGGTTATGCATTACATACTACGGAGTACGTTTTTATCTTTATTTAGAACTTCTAAGACCATATTTTCTTCAACATCTTTCTTTACTTGTTACTTACTCTTATTGGAAGAATTAGATCTGATTAAATCAAAAATAGTTTTAAATATAACTATACTCAAATTAGATTATAACTTGTTCTAATCAGATTTACTCTCTCCGTCCTAAAATGTTCTTCTCACTCACTTTTTACTCGGTCAAACTTTAATCACTTTCTTTACCTATTTTCATTAGGTATTTGATAAAATAATATAGTCTTGTCACCACTTGTTTTGTAGAACTTTTGATGTAGTTTTTAAATATATAAATTTTATTTTTTAATTTTATACCTACAACCAAATAAATTGAATTGAAAATAAAGTCGGTCAAACCTTGTAAAATGAAGCAGAAGAACATTATATAGGACGGATTGCTCTTTGTATTCAAACTTCAAACACGAGGAAAGCATACCCTTAGCCTAATGTATAACGTCTATAGAAGTTGAAAAATTTTAGATGAAAAAATGAAATGGACTGAGTGTTGTTTATGTCTTGATCTTAATTAAATCTGTGGCTCATAACTGGAACATGGAGTTTGGATAGAGGAAAGGCGGCATGCTTATTCCCACTTCACTTTAATGTCTGTAAACCCAAAGCTCAGTACTAATTTGTGTTCAAAGTTCCACACTTTCCGTTGGATCCGAAGTTATTCCTCCCGCAACTTTTCCAAGCCCATCCCTTATTCGTCTCCCCAAATATACGCCTGCAATGTCAAGATCGCCCAGTTATCCCGCTCCGGGAAGATCCGTTCTGCCCGGAAGGTGTTCGATGAAATGCTCCACAGAGATGCCGTGTCGTGGAACTCGATGATCACGGCGTACTGGCAGCACGGGCTTCTCGAGGAATCCAGGAAACTCTTCGTGTCGATGCCAAACAAGAATGTGGTGTCATGGAACTCAATGATCGCTGGCTGTGTAGAAAATGATTGCATAGATGACGCTCGCCTCTACTTCAGCACCATGCCAGAAAAGAACCTTTCGTCGTGGAATGCGATGATTTCTGGTCTCATCAAGTTTGGAATGGTGGATGAAGCTGGGAGATTGTTTGAGGAGATGCCGAGGAGGAACGTGATCACCTATACTGCTATGATAGATGGGTTCATGCAGAAAGGGGAAGTGGAGAAGGCTAGGGCCTTGTTTGACTTTATGCCTATGAAAAATGAAGTTTCTTGGACTGTGATGGTAAGTGGATATGTGGGCAATGGCTGTCTTGATCAAGCCAGGGATTTGTTTGAGCAGATGCCTTATAGGAATGTTGTTGCTCAAACTGCTATGGTATTTGGGCTCTGCAAGGATGCTCGTCTTACAGAAGCGAGAATACTATTCGACAAGATTCGTTCTAAAGATACCGTCTCCTATAATGCCATGATTTCAGGTACCAAAGAAAAAAACAAAATTGAAAGAGTTTTGCACCCTCAATATATATATGTCCCCTCTGTCCGGATATAGTTGTCCACTTATCCCAACCCCTCAAATTTAAGGAACGATGTGAATTGACAAGATTATCCCTTTCTTCGAGTCTATTTCATCTCAAAGATATATCTGGCAATTCCTCCAAATTTCATTACTAAATGAGGTTAGTGGACAACTTGTTATGGACATCCTAAAATACAATAGTAGACAACCAAATACGGATGGAGTGGGTATATTTTATTGTGGTAAGTCACTGCAACGGTTTGTTATTACCTCCTTCCAAAAGCTATAATTTTTAATCTAATCAAGATTAGATTCGTTAGTTCAAACATTGTGCCACGAAACCAATCTCTATGTATCCTTCATTAGCACTACTCTCGTCATAGTTCATACATACCTGATGCTTGTTATTGACCAGGTTATGTGCAAAATGGTGGCAGTGAGGAGGCGTTAAGTCTACTAATACAAATGATGAGGATGTGTCTACAACCTGACCTTTCAACTTCTGTTTCTGTTCTAAACGCGTGCTCAAATCTCATGTCCCTCACATTGGGAAAACAAATACACACTTTGATTCTCAAAAACGGGTTGGACTCAAACTTCCCACCAAAGCATGCTTTGATCACCATGTATGGTAAATGTGGCAGCATCGTTGATTCGGAATCTGCTTTTGAAGTTATCGGCAAACCAGACTTACTTTCATGGAACGCCATCGTAGCCGCATTTGCACAACATGGACTGTATGTGAAAGTTGTCAAACTATTTGAGCAGATGACATCCGATGGACAAGAACCAGATGGGATAACATTTCTAAGCTTATTATCTGCTTGTGCTCACACAGGAATGGTTAAAGAAGGCATATTTTGGTTCGATTCGATGATCAAAGATCACAGAGTTAGTCCTCAGCCTGAGCACTATGCGTGTTTGGTTAGTATTTTGGGCCGAGCCGGGCAGCTGGAGAAAGCCTTTCGGATCATCAAAGAGATGCCCTTTGAAGCTGATTCTGCAGCATGGGGTGCTCTTCTTGCAAGCAGCTGTGCTTACTCAGATTTGGAGCTGGGAAAGATCGCCGGAGAGAGAATTCTGGAATTGGGTGATCGGAATTCAGCATCGTATGTCACTTTGTCTAACATATATGCTGGTGCTGGGATGTGGGGCCAGATCTCGAGAATGAGAAGCATGATGAAAGAGCATGGAATTAAAAAGCAACCTGCTTGCAGTTGGACCGAGATAGAGAGTGAAGTCCATTGCTTTTGGGCAGGTGATTCTTCTCATCCAAACATGCTTGAGATTCATTCGGCAATCAAGAATATGAATTTGCAGATGAAATCCCAACTTGACTTCTTTAAAGATGACGATTTCCCGGACATTTTCCTTGCCTGAAATGATATTGCTGTCTTCAGCTTCTGGGATGACAATGCAGTGTTTCAACCAAGTCAAATATTCACGAAGAAACGACATTTCTGCCACAAGAAGTGGTGAATGCAAAAGTTGCTAATGTCTGAAAAGTGATATGTATATGGTGCATTCCAAGATTACATAAATTCCAACTTCTTGGCATAAGAAGAAAAAAAACATCTTGGGATTCTTGGCTAGATATTGCTCATAGAGTGTCGTTCGCTACAACAAACATTGCAGTAAAACAGATAAACATGTTTCTTCTACAATGTTGAGAATGATTCTCGAAGTCCGGGCTCTGGTTGGAGAGGTGAGATCTGAATAATGTGGTTGAGACTCTGCTTAATGCCCTTCCCCATATCTGTCAAAAAATACAATTTTCTTGGTAATGTACTTCTGTCCATTGCCAATGGAGCTAAAAGAGTCATTGTTTACAATGTTTTAGTTTCGGGCACATAGATTATTAAATCAATATGGAACACCAAACCTTGTTTCTTACTTTCTTTGAAGTTTTGGGCAGTAAGTGCAGCAATGCAGCTAGGGTCTAACGGTAACAACCTCTCTGTTTTTATAGGAGTAAGACTGCGTACATTTTGAGTATCTCTTTGTGTCTTCATGTTTAATTAAGTGCTGTTATAGTGCAGTTAAATGCTATGCACCAGCTAAACTAATGTTCCAATACTAGAATTGTGTGGTCATACATAATTTACTAACGTAACCTTTAGGTACGTAAAACAACTGTTTCCTATGCATATTCTTTTTTCAAAACAAAACAACCTTTTTCATAGACATTGTACTATGCACCTTCTTTCAATATAAATACTTTTGAGTTAGGCTAAAACGTCCCATTTGTGACAGAGAACTAAAAGATGGGCTCATGACATAAACTCCATGCCATTTAGGGTCCATTTTGTTGGGGAAAAATATTTTCCGAGAAAATTATTTCCCAAGGTAAAATGATCTCCTAAAGAAAATTATTTTCTCATCATACTTTGCATTGTTTGATGAAAAGAATTTTTTTCTCTAAAAAATCATTTTTCACTGTTAATATTTGAAAAAGATGTTTTGAGACAATCCTAAAATATTTTAACAATGTGGGGGCGAGCGGCATAGGGTGCCTGTGGATAGTGGTGCAATTGTGGGGTGGGGTACTAAGGTGGGAGCCGAGTGGCGGGTGGATGTGGGGTAGGCAACTGGGGGAGGCATAGGGGAGAGGCGTTAGGGGCAAGGGCGGTTGGTGAGGGAGTCGGTGGGAAAATAGTTTTTTTCCAACGAATCAAAATCAATATAAAGAAGATTTTGGAACAAGAGTATGAGTTAGGTCAAACACTTTGTGATATTTTGACACTATAGTGTTGTAGAAATATACACGGACAAGAATCGTTTGTGTGTGACTATGTTGACAAATGCTATTCAAAAATGAAAAATGCTAGGATGTTCCCAAATGGTTGCTATCAGAGGTGCACTCATGCTTCCCACAGATAAATTATCATTTGGGTCGCACTGATGATCTGCGCGAAGCATGAGTGCACTCATGCTAACAACCATTTGGGGGCACGCTAGCATGATCCATTCAAAGTTAGTGTTCCCCTATCAAAATTAGTAAAAAAGTAAAAGACTTTGCTAGAGACTTTTACCTTTTTACACCATTTTAATACCATGTTTCTTACAACATGTGACAGAAACTCTTATACTCCCTCTATTCATATTTAATTATTCAATTTGCTTTTCCGAATTAGAGTTCCACCAATAATATATCTTAAAATATATTAGCAAATTTTTTTATAAATAAAGTACTTTTCAAAGTATAAATTTGTATTTTAATTTATTACTCCGTATATATTTTTTAGATTTTTAGTCAAACGTTTGACACACAAAATGAAACATACAATTAAATAAAAATAGATGGAGTATATGTTTATGAAAATCATGATGTCAAAATGATGGGCTCTCCAATTTATTAATTTAATTTTAGAAGATGTGTATTTAAAATGTAAAAAATGAATGTTTGAAGCCCCAGTTTGAAGCCCCGGGGCTTCAAACCCATTTCCAGTGAATTTTTGGTGTAAGTTAAAGCTGACGTGGCAGAGAGAGAGAGTTTGAAGCCCCGGGGCTTCATACGTATTTCCAGTGCTCTTAGTTTTGTTTACTCCCTATAATTCTACTCTATTCGTCCCAATTTAAATTATTCATTTATTATACATAGGGTCAATATCAATTACGTTTTGTAAAAACTTTGATATAGTTTTTAAATAAACAATATTTATTTTTTAATCTCATCAAATTGAAAATAATTTGAATCCGATGTCTCGTAAATAATAAGAGACGAATTAAATGGAGAAGAAAGTGAGGAAGGAAGGAGTATTCTGTTTCGGAGTTAACTCCCACTGACAGTGACACACGCCCATTTAATTGTAATTGGGATCCTCGCAACGCAACCTTTCATGCACATTGATGGCATTAAGGCCGTATGTGGTCGTTTTGGGCGGTCGTATGCAACCTAAGACCCAGTGGTACTACTCATAGCATGGGGCGTTAAACACTGTCCCCCTCTCCCGTTATCCGGGCATTAGAAGTCTCGCGTCATAGTTTTGACGCAATTTGAAGGCGTGATAACGCTTTTTCCTTCTTTTTTCTCCTTCTTTTTTCCTTTTTTCTTCTCTATAAATTAAATTAATTTTTTTTAAAAAAATTCAACACAAATACAAATTTCTCTATCATCTTTTTTTAAAAAATTATTATTCAACTATATTTTTTATTTTTTCATGAATGTAATCTTTTATTTAATGAATGTAATTTTTTTATTTAATGAATGTAGTTTTTTATAATGAATGTGATTTTTTTATTTAATGAATGTAATTTTTTATAATGAATACAATTTTTTTAATGAACTATTCTCGTTTCAATTCTTTTAAATAATTAAATATTTAAATTTAATAAATTTAATTTTAGAAGATGTGTATTTAAAATGTAAAAAATGAATGTTTGAAGCCCCAGTTTGAAGCCCCGGGGCTTCAAACCCATTTCCAGTGAAATTGTGAGTTAAGTTAAAGCTGACGTGGCAGAGAGAGAAGGTTTGAAGCTCCGGAGCTTCATGGGTATTTCCAGTGCCCTAAAGATGTGTTGCGTGCTCTCTTTGTGCTTTGTCTTTAAAGAAAATTATTGTCCACATGTTTAGCTGAACTGGTCGAAAGAGTGAATGTCTCGTTCATTGATCTTAGAATCGAATTTCGGCAAGAACAGTGTCGGAGATATATTCTTAATAATAGTTCCTTGTGCGTACCGGGCACAAGACGACCTCTCTTAAAACCAGATTAAGGTTACATTATAATTTACCTCCCTCATTATCTTGTCGGCCGGAGAGTGGAAGCGTCCGGGATGGGCATTCCGCCTTTTTTAAAAGAAAGAAAGATTGATCATATTTTGAGGAGCTCTTAATTAGATGGATCGGCCAAACAACTCTTCTCTATTTAAGTGAAAAACCAAAATGATTAGCATCCTCAAATTAAAAATTCACTCCTGTAATTGATTGAGACATTAACCTCGATCAGGAAATTGAGATAATCCGCATTTGGAAGCTAATTAATTACAACGCTCTCGTAAAGGAGTAATAAAAAGTAAAACATTTATCAATGAATATTTATATAGTAACACATTATGGTACTCCCAAGTTTAAATGCCATGTCGGCCCCACTCCAAAACAAAAAAGTTGACTCCAAACAATTCTCATCACAAATTTGCATTTTTTCTTGGCGTTACAATATGATATGCCTTAGCTTGGTTGTGAATGAGAGAAGAAGATTTAGAATAACCCCCTCCCAAATTTAACCAGAAAATAAAATAAAAAATATTCCGTTTTTTCTTTGTTTTTTTTTTTGTTTTTCCGAGGAAGAACAACAACCTTATATTAAATCATGTTTCTTTCCAAATCAAGGTACACTAAATCTTTGGCACTGTTAGTGGAGTGTTTTTAATCTGCATGTTAAGAAATTTTCGGTAGAATTTATTTATTTATTTTATATTATTATTGTCATGTGTAGATCTGGGAAGAAATGTCATCCGTCGATTCTGTCGAGGACAAAGCTGTGCAGGGGGGATTCTGCCACGTCGCAGGTTGATTCGAAGGCTGTGGTTTCGCTCGAAAGAAAGCCTTCCAAGTCCGACGAACAGGTTACTTACATTATTTCTTGTTTTTAATTTTTGTTACACATTGATTATTGCCATTGAGTTATATATGAGTAGTGAAGTTACGATCGAGCCAGTATATAATGTATATATATAAATTGCGGAGGAGTGGTTTTTTTTCTAACGGCGGCGGAGCGCGGTGGTGTGGGGTGGCGTAGGGGAGTTGAGTGCGGTGGCGGATAGGTGGTTATGAATGTGAATATATGAGAGAAACAATATTTTATTCATTTTTTTCATACTTCTATAACTTTCATTTCGGGTGGTCATCACACGATCATCCCGACTCGGTACTCCTATAATGTTTCATTCGCGAAAAATTGGTGGTTCTTAATTACTCTATGTAATTTTCCTGTGTTTTCTACCCCAAGCCCCACCGGTCCCCTTCCTTTGATGATAGGCAAAAGCGGGATGGGTTGGAGAATAGAAACAATTATTTTTTTTGAACGGAACATCGCAGAATATACCAACAGTTAAATACATATACAAGGGCAGTTTTTTTTATTTCTGCTAAACTCGTGTCTCTATATAACAACTTATATTCATACATAAGCGTGGTCTCAAGAGATAGAATTTGATAGACTAAAACTAGACATTGTCATTAGATTTTTTTGACACTCTCCCTTTAATTATATTCAAGTGCCATTTGAACCCTTTGTTGAGGTATTTTGATTAAATAATTGAAACAAAATAAAAAGAAAAAAAAGAGAGATGTAACTTGGTGGAAACAACCAAGAAGTGCAGGAGAGCCTTTAGGAGTTTTGTCTTCTTCTCTTGGAGGGTGTGAGCTAGATTATTCTCCATTATTGTGTATTTGGCTATTTAAAAGCCATGCATGGCACAATACGGTTGAGGAGGGGAGAAAAAGGAGAGGAAGGTTAAAGAGAGAGGTGTTACACAAGATATCACCAACATTGTGTGAGTGAGTGTGGGGAGTAACTGGTTTTTAGTTACTCGGAAAATACATCCGGGTGTAGGGTGTGAAAGGTCTGTTTATAAGTGTCTAGTATTTAGCACTTGTAAACAAGGAGAGTTTTTTGTGTATCGTTCTGAAATAGTGAAGATATAATTTTTTTCTCTCATATATTCTTCTTGTGTTTGTTCTCTCATTTTTCTGGTGTTCTCAATATTTTTCGGTGTCTTACGCGCTTAAAATCCCAACACCCTTTGACAATCCATTTCTATGGATTAGAGTTCATATTTCCTGAAACAAAATTTATAAATCTGAACTTTTGTTTGAGTTGATTCTTTGAAATGATAGCAAAACCTTGTTGACAAAGAGGTCACGAGTTTGAAACTCATTTCCTTAAAGTTTTTTAGAAAAATTAAAGTTTCACGTGTAAGGCTCGAAGCGGTCACGCCTACATATGAGGTGGCGTGTTAGAGTATAAAAATAATTTTTGGGCCACCATTACAAGCTTGAGCTTTTAGTTGAGCTGATTTTTAAAAATAGTATCAAACCTTTGTAGATCCAGATGTCGCGAGTTTGAAACTCACTGACACTCCGATTTAAAAAAATAAAATAAGGTATCATTAGCAAGACTCGAAGCGGCCACACCTGCAATATATATCATTTTACATGAAAGATGACATAATTATACTTCCTCTATCTCATTGTCTTTGTCTCTTTTTATATTTAGTCATATTTGTGTGATTCACAATCATTCATACTGTATCTCATTTTTTAACATCAACATCGGCCACACAAATATATTTTTCTTAATTATTACGGTTGTAAATGGAAAATCAAATATGTATAAAATTAAAAAAAAATGTATTTGTGCTACCAATTTCTTCTTTCATCATAATTTTATGCCTCAAACCTAACACTTCCATATATTTTTTTCCCCCTCATTGTATCATTTGATTGAACACAGAACCGGAGCAGTAGAGCCCTGCAAGTCCAAGAAACCTCAGTGTGGGAACTAGAAGAGGAAATCAATATGTTAAGAGAGCAATTAGGATGTGCAGAAGCAGATAGAGACAAAGCTCTTGCTGATCTTGTGGAGATTAGACAATTAATCAATGACTATAATTACTTCAAAGATGTTTTGTACAACACACAGAAAGAGCTGAATGACAAAGACAGAGATATGGAGCTGCTGAGATCGAAACTCAGCGAGGCCGAGGCCGAAAGAGAAGAGGCAAAAGAGAGATTAAGAGAGGCACTTGCCAATGCAGAAGCCTCCGAGGCACGGTCCCGCCATGCCATCTCTGATCTTCGGATCCGGATCAAGGAGCTCGAGGAGCGAGCGGAAAACAAAAAAGACCGGGATCCGAAGATCGAGAGTCTGAGCGAAGAGATATCTTCGCTCAGAAAGGAGTTGAAAAAGGCAAAGGAGGAAGAGGAGAAGAGCAGAAAGGCAATGGATGGGCTCGCGTCGGCTTTGAAGGAAGTCGCGGGAGAAGCGATCGAGGCCAAGGAAGACGTGAAGCTAAAACTCGCCGCGACTCAATCCGATCTGGATCAAGTGAAGCGGGAGAACGCGAAGTTGAAAGAGAGAACAAAGAGAGGAGAGGATAAGTGTCACAAGGAGCTGGAAGAGACTAAAAAAGAAATAGAGGTAATGATAAAATTTATGATGGGTGGGGATCACTGGACTGAACCATAGGACACTCGTGCTGAACCACATTGAAAGATTGAATCGAATCGATTACTAGCTCAACCCAAGAGCTTATGAACTCATTATTTTCTTCTTTATTTTTCGATGTGGGGTGCTCTCTAACAGGTATACAAAAACACGGTGGAGAGGTTGAGATTGGAGGCGGAGGAGGGGCTTATGGCGTGGAATGGGAAGGAAATGGGATTCGTGAGCTGCATAAAGAGAGCGGAGGAAGAACGGGACAATGCGAGTCGGGAAATCCTTAGGCTGAGAGACCTGTTGAAGCAGGCAATAAGTGAAGCCAATGCTGCTAAGGCTGCTGCTAACATTGCCATTGATGAAAACTCGAAGCTCAAAGATTGCTTGGCTGCTGCTGGGAAAGGCGGCTTAAGAACATGAAGATTGAAGAGTAAGATGATGATGATGATGATGATGATAGCTTTTGTATTCACATTGTTGGATTATACAAATCACAATATAATTCACAATGAGTGTTCTTTCTTTTTTTGTTTTGTTTTGTAGCTTATGGTTGTGATTATGTATGAAAGAATAAGACTTCTACTTCCTTGAAAATGGAGAATGTGAAGAAAGAAGAGTTAACAAAAAAATGAATTAAAAATAAGGATGAGTCTCATCCCGAGGACCCCTCAAACCCGGCCGGGCGATTATTGAAAGAAGGTAAATTAGACAGATTGGTGACAAAGATTGGAGTCTCCAACTGATACTTACAAAGACTTTATGCTTAGTACCTTAGTATAGTTGTCTCCCAGCGCAGTTATTAGGAATCGAACTCGAGAATTTAAATTTCAATAAGAATGAATTTAAATTTCAATAAAAAATGAATTTAAAAATAAATTACAGTGAAAGCTGATGAATGAAATGTGAAAAACTGATGTGGTGCTGAGTTGGAAGTGAGTTTAAGTGCCTTCTGTTCCATATGCTTGTTTTGTGTATATAAGCATCTTTTTTGAAAAAACTCTTAAAATTTAAATTAGGCTCGACAAAATTACATTTAAAAGATCTCAATTTTGGCCGGTCTAGGCAAAATAAACTCACCTTTTAATATTGTGCAAATTAAACTTTCTCTATTGTACATACTAATCTCACCTTTTACATTACTTCCTAGTTGCATAGGTGCATATATAGAAGGCTGGCATTAAAATTTAATAATAGAAAAACTAAAGAATGTTGACCTACCAATATCTATTTTGTTTATTTTATTTTGTATAAAATAATCTTACTGGTTACATACAATAGATATTAATCCATATACTAAAAGCTTAACAGGATGCTGATATTACATTATTAGTATATACACCGTATTAAAAATTGTGTTACACTTAGGACCATATTCTTTTCAATTTAGTTTCGTTAGAGTATAGTTCAACTTCAGTTAATTTATATAAGCACCGTTACATTTTGGTGGAGTGAAATTTGCACAAAATAATATTAAAACATACTCTCTCCGTGCCCATTTTATTACGGGGTATAATTTTTTTCTCTTCTCGATAACTTTTGTTTATTTACGCACTTTCATTAAATATTTGATAAAATAAAATATTCTTGTCACCTCTTGTTTTGTAGAACTTTTGTTTTTTTATTTCTTATTGATATACTAATTTGTAAATAAAATGATTTCAAAGAGTGAAAATTTTTCCTCTTAAACCTCAATTTGCAACTAAATTGGGGACAGAGAGAATATGTCTTTTTCTAATGTAATACTTAAAACTTGTCATTTTCTAAATAGTACTTGAAAAATACCCAGTGGCGAGAACAATATCCAGTTAACGGTGAACATTTTATTTTTAAAATATGCAGTGACAGTAAATATTTATTACTTGAACAATGTCCAGTAGACACTGAACAGTGATACTACATTGAGAATTTAAAACATGTGGTATTATATTAGAAAACTCACTATATTTTAATACGATATAGGTAAATTTCCCTTTTGGTGAAAACATGATTCTACTTTTTTTAAATTGCACCTAATAATTACTCTAATTGCACCTCATAATTGCTCTGCAGTTAATTATACTCAAATAGAACAACCCATTTTGGCTGAGATATGCATATTAATGGGTTGGTGGCTGGTTACAGCCCAACCCAGCCCCAAAGAGCGGGTGACGAAGAAATTAGACACATAAACTAATCAGGTTTCCTCATTTAGGAGTTGGGCCATTTGCATTAAAGTAAATTTGAGCAATGCTAGGGGTACGTATACCTCATTTGTACACCACCCCTTTCTCCACCACTTATTTTTAATTAATTTTTGTTTATTTATTTTTTTTCTTGCCCAATTATGTGGACAAGGAGGGGGTGGGGGACAAATGGGGTACTCCAAAGGTGTACCCCTAGCATTTTTATTGAAAGTTTATTGATTTTAAATTGTTTGCAAACACCATGAGAAATTGAGAATGTGTATTGCATCTGCCTGAATTTGTGTCCACTCTGCTGCAGTGGTTAATTGTTTTTTTACTAGCTTTCACTTTTATCTTTAGGATTCATTTGGTATACGGAATTGATGAAATTGGAATTGAATTGTAATTGAAATTCCATTGGACTCAATTCCATAGAATTGAATTCTACTAATTCCAATTCATTTTTTACACTATCAATTCCAAATCCACAAAATTTTTGTACTACCAAACACCAAAATTAGAATTGAAGTCCTCAATTCCAATTCTATAATTTGAATTCCGTATACCAAACGGGACCTTATTAATTTTGAAACTTTAAAATACAGAATCTAAATTATTTGATAAGTTAATTGACGTTGTTATTCGATTATTCCTTGAAAAAGAGTATTTATGAGGAAAAAGAGTGATTGTGTATGCTGTGCATGGTAGAAAAAAAATTGATTAAAAATAAATAAAGGGGGAAGTTGGATAGAGTGTGGAGTGCCCAAGTAATGGGTGGCAAATGGCCATAACACTCTCCCATAGAAAATATGCACCTCTACGCGGCCATTCAATGCTTTAGAGTATATCTTTATCATTCCAACTGTAAAGTGTAAAGTTGAAAAGGATGGGCAAAACATTGCAACTTGCCAATTCAGTCAAAAAAGAAGTAACTTTTGGTAAAGTCGGTAAAATATGAAATTACCGAAATTTTTTGTATAGTATTTTGAATAATTTGATACATTATGGTATCATACCGAATGATTTCGGTATGATATCTGAATCAGAATGCGGTTTAAATACCTACTTGATGAGAAAGGGTATAGGAAGTCAATACCTACCAAATAAGCTGTGATGTGGACTTAGTCTCAATGCCAAGATTGATAAACCACAATGTGACCCAATTAATTCAAGAGGCAATTTCCAAAAAACTAAAACAAGATACTGAGCAAGAGATATGGTAATGATTTCTTAATGCCTCATTCCTTTGAGGAGAAGGAAAACATCCCTAGGACAAATTCAAGTTGGGATAAGAAAATAAACTAGGAATCAAAGTTCAGAAACACCATTAAATATAAAGTAGCAGTTCACTCAAATGTTGCAAACCATGGAAATAAAAAACTAGCACTAGAAAGCAGGATTCAACCTGATAGCAAGCCATAACAAGGAATACTTCAAAGTTAAGCACTTCATCGAGAAAGTTATTGCTCATTGTCGGGTTTGGATGCTTCTTTGATCTCATCTCCTCCATCATCCTAAAAAAGAAAAATCAACATTTGTGATTTAGCAAGAAAAGTAAACTGGACAAAGCTTAATTTCTCGCGTTGAAAGAAATGGATGAATTACCTGCATGTCTGATGTCCAGAGAGTGAGATTATCCCGAAGAAGCTGCATGATGAGAGTGCTATCTTTATAGGACTCCTCTCCCAAAGTGTCGAGCTCTGCAATCGCCTCATCGAAGGCCTGCGAATGATAAGAGCAAGAAATAAAAGAGAGTTCTAATAAGTGCGTCGATTGATGAAAAGAAACCAATAGATTCCAATGCATAAGTGTTTCTCAATATTGAATGCAAGGAAAAGGGAATGGATAATTAATGTTTACCTGTTTGGCAAGACTACAAGCACGATCTGGAGAGTTCAAGATCTCATAGTAAAATACAGAGAAGTTGAGAGCCAGGCCTAGACGAATAGGATGAGTAGGAGCTAGTTCTGCATTGGCAATTTCCTGCAGATATTTCATGTTAATTACGAGATCAGATTCCAAATCGAGATTAAAAAAAGCACTTTTTGCATAAATCTCTAAGAGACATTTTCAATCTGCATTTTCATGGCGAGATTTGGAAAAAATTGATAAATACTTGCAGTAGGAGAAACAAACCTGAGCAGATTTGTAAGCGGAGAGAGTGTTCTCGGCGGCCTCTTTTCTCTCGGATCCGGTTTTGAACTCAGCCAGGTAGCGGTGATAGTCGCCCTTCATCTTCAAATAGAAGACCTTTGAATCGCCGGAAGAAGCGGCGCCGATGAGCTTGGAATCGAGGAGCTTGAGGATGCCGTTGCAGATCGAGGTAAGCTCCGACTCGATCTTAGATCTGTAGTCCTTGATCGACGCCACGTGGTCCTCGTTTCCGCGGCTCTCCTCCTTCTGCTCGATAGAGGAGATGATCCTCCACGACGCACGGCGAGCGCCGATCACATTCTTGTAGGCAACGGACAGAAGGTTGCGCTCCTCGACGGTCAATTCCTCGGCGCCGTCGGCGGCGGCCACCACCTTCTCCATGAACTCCACCATCTCCTCGTACCGCTCAGCCTGCTCCGCAAGCTTTGCCATGTACACGTTCTCCTCACGTGCCGTCGCCATTGATGCCCTGTCTTTGTCTGTGAAAGAGAGAGCTTTTTGAGAGAGAGATTTGAGAGAAGGCTTTGTTGAGGATTTGCCCCCCCTTTGATTACTCTATTTCCATTTTAGAGAGAGGTTCAAGGGAAGTGGAATATTGGGCTGTTAAGGGCCCATCAAAGAGGTCAGGATCTCAGCCCAAGAATCATGACAAAGGCTAGACGTATATGTGACGCGGATACAGTTAAGAAGGACTGCTTTATTATTTATTTATTAATGTACTTGTGCCAAAAACTATAAAACAATGGGATTATATTGGATTATAGTCAACAAAAAAATTGATTTTTATGTTTTTGTACATTTGACAAACATTTTTATTTTTAAAAAAATCATCCTAAATATTTAATAAAATTTAGTATATATTTTTAAAATATGAATTTCATATTTTATTTTTAAGATAAGATTTTGTATTGTGACATTATGACATTGTATAGTGACATTTTACTATTTTTTGGTGTTATATATTGATATTCTTGGTATTGTAACTCTTAATTTGGAGTTAAAAAATATGAATGTTCTATTTTAGTACTTTCTTCATATTTTACTCCTAATTTAGTTCTTTTATCTACTTATTTTTTATTTTTTCAATCATTTTTATAGATTCTCTCTTACTTTTTTTAACACATTACTCTCTTACACTTTTTTCAATCATTTCTAATATTTTTTCTTAATCTCCAAAAAAAATCTCATGTGCCTTTTGGCATAAGACTGAGGGAACAATACGGAGTAATAGTTTGTTCTTTTCAATTTATTTTTATTACTTATTCAATTAAATCAGATTTAATCAGGTCAGATCAGAAATAACCTCAAATATAAATGATGTTAGATCAGACCATACCGGACCTTGTCAATTTTCATATCAAATTACTCATATCACTTAAAAGAAATGAGATCAAATTTATTGAAATGAGACGAATCAAAATGCTCTAAGTGAGAATGATGCATTTTTATTGATTGCGGTAGGGGTGGGCAAAAATATTGGTCTGACATTGTTTTGAGCCGGACCGACATTGTACCAAACCGAAAAACGAGTTTTCAAATGGTTCTAGTAAATTATATCCCAAACCGAACCGAATCGTTTTCAAAATCGTATGGGACGTGTTAGTTCCATGGTGTTGGCTAATCTTTTGGCAAAATCGAATCTCATATTTGTTAGGTGTTTTACTAGGTAGAAACATTTATTTGTCAGGAGAAGTTTATTTTATTTAGACTTCTAGAGTCGCTGCAGTTTTTGAGGTTGACACAGAAGATGCTACAGCACGATGCTGCAACACACTGTTCGGGATCAGAGGTCTGAGCACGGGATTTTAAGCTGCAATCTGAATTAGAGACCTATTGGGATTGTGATTACATGATAATAACTCCAGCTGTACATGCTAAGGAATCCCAACTCTTTAGGCTACTTGTGGATCAAGATTAAGGAAGTAGAGTTCAAGCCAACTTCTACTATCCTATTCCTACTAGAATTGGGTTTTGTTTGGCCTATAAAAACGCAGCTGGTCCCTGGGAATTACGTGGAGCAATTGAGAGGGAAAACAAAGAATATACGCTGATGTAGAGCATTCCCGTCGCGTCCCGGAGCTTCCCATACATGAAGAAGGTTGCGATCTACATGAAGGAGGAGATTTTCAACGCCAAACTGATCGTGACATCCAGAAAATGAAATAGAGCTGAACGAGTGGGTTGTCAACACGTTTGTCCTCGTGATCTCGGTGGAGATGTGATAGCCGAAGCGGATCTGAACAGAGTTCGGGTTAGAAATCCTAGATTAGAAGTTTTGTCATAACAATTCGGAGAAGAGTGTCTCATCATGTTGTTATGTACCGATGTAACTTGCATCTAGTGATTTAGTGGAGGGCTATTACACGGACGTGGGCCCCGCAGATTAGGAGAGTTTCTCCGAACTGCGTAAACATATCTGGTGTCATTTTTACGCATTTTATAGTTACAGCATTCTGCCCAGTAGGCGTTGTAACACCCTCCGAGTCATCTGCTTCTGTGTGTGCCTGTGACAGAGAAGTGTTATAGCACAACTTACAGGACGGGTTTCGAAAAAATAAATGTCGAAAATACCGAACCGAACTGTTACTACTAAAATATTAAATCAATAAATTCATTACACATTTTTCATTTATTAATTTTTAGTAAGTTTGGGTGATATTTATTTGGTGTGACTTTCACATAGTTAAACTTATGCTTTTATAATACTTTATTAACTCTAAGTACAACTCAAGTTATAATTTTATTTGTTGAAAATGCAAACTATGATTAAGTTTTTTTAAAAATTATAACTAAGCAATACACATGTTGAGTAAGAAACTAAGAATGCATAAAAATATTTGTGTACCATTTTTTAATTGCGTCGGTTGTTTGTCATAAATAAAAATAGTTTCAAAGCATCGAAGTATTATAGAATAGTTTGGCATTAATATGGCATGGTACCATCCTGGTACCGATTGAGTTTAGATGTAAAACTGTAACCATACGAAACCGTTCGAATAATAATGGTATGGTACAGATTCTTTAAAAATACTGAACCGTCACGAAACGTGTCCACCCATAGATTGCAGGGTTGTGTATGTTTGCCTTCTCATCATGGTAGAAGAAAGATAAGGATTAAGCTATTTGTTCCGCAATTTGTACACTGCAAATGCACACTTTCATTTTGTGTCAGTGTAAAGCTAGGGTGATAGTCACACAGATACAAAATATTAGTACAAATTTTTGTTAACCACCAGCATTTTGTGTCAGTGTGAAGCATCAAAATGTTAGTGTATATTTTTAATGTAGTTTGGAATATACTTCTTGGTGTGAGTGTAGCATGGTTAGAAAGATAAAGTGAGATTTCACTACCTTTTGACAAAGTGGCGGTAAAAAAGGACATTGGCAAAAGTGTGGGGTGGGCAGGCCTCAAAATGAGCAAAAGGGTGTGACCAATTGGAATGAACTAGCCATTTTTTGTGTGCGTGTCTTGTTTTTATCATAAAAAAATGGAAAAATTAAATAAAATATGGGGAAGGTTCCCATGGATGACCCGGGTCCCATTCGTAAAATTGACGGTTACTACTCCCCATCCCGTCTCAACCCGAACACACTCCCATAGCCCCTTCAATTGCACTCACAAGTTGATTTTAACCTTGGAGTTAAATTTTGACTCCAAAGTCAAAATCAACTTGTGGGGTGCAATTGGAGTGGCTACGGGGGTGTGTTCGGGTCAGGGCGGGGTGGAGGGTTTACAGGGGGATAAGAACCGTCAATTTTACGAACGGAGCACCAGAATGCTCCCGGGTCATCCCATGACATGGGATTCCAATGTCATGACAACACCACCAATAAAATATATCTAACTTTATTCATTCCTTCTAAAATATTTTCATCTTTAATTCTGAAATATAGTAATCTCAATTTTATTGAAATTGGCGAGTTTTGAGTCATCGTTAAAGTAATAACGAACAGAAATCACCTTTACAAAATGAAAGTTGCAAATATTTTTTATGAACTTTTGTTTTTTTGAGATTTTTCTTTAAATTTTTAAAAAGACCTTCTACCTTCACCATTTCTTTTCCTTTTTTTAAAAGACTAGTCTTGGTGTCTTGCCTCTGAAAAACAAAAAGAATATAGAAATGAAAATAAAAAAAAGTAAAAAATAACTAAAATCATACAAAATTAATGAAATAAATAAGTAATAATAAAAACTAACCTGAAACTGGTAATGAATAAAAATAGAAATATGCGGATTGGTATGTTCTAACATTTTATACACTATACAGATTACAGAGTATTAATGTATTATTTCTTCTTGTTGGTCAAATTTAAAAAAAAACAAAACATATGAAATAAAAAAATATTATTTTCTTATTCAAACCCCAAATAAATAAATAAATTATTTTTCTAATTAAAAATAACTAAAATGGAAGTAGATAGAAGTACGAAAATATTATTTTATTTTTTTATTTTTATTTCTACTTTTTAGGGGTTTAATAAGATAATAGTTCTTTTATATCTTGTTTTAAATTTTTATTTTATATTTTACCGACAGGAAGAAGTAATACGTTTATACTCTGTATAGTGCCTAAAATGTTAGAACTCACCACTCCGTAAATTTTTAGATTTATTTTCTCATCGATTTGATGAGTCCTATATGGTTTAGCCGGTTGTACCAGAAGTAAGGTACAGCCGGATAGTACTCACTTTGAAGCAAAAGTAGTAGTCATTCTCACACAAACATAAGTGTTCACTTGAAATAACATAGTACTCATTTTTAAATAACGTATTACTGATTTTAGAATAATGCAATACACATTTTCATATATTTGTTCAATAAAATTATAATATTCATTTACGAATAACATATGTTCATTCTGAAACAAAGTGGTACTCATTCTTAAATAAAGTAGTGTTCATTCTCAGCTAACTTACCATTTATTCCACATTTGCTAAGAGTTTGAAATTAGAATCAATCTGTAACCCTTCTTCATCCTCATGTCTAAATTGCTGAACTGCTGACCTAGAGTTTCGATATCGACGGCTTCCCAGATTTGTAAAGCTGCCACCATCACCTTCACTGCCATCACCCTCGCCTTCACTTTTGCCTCCATCATCTTCACCACCGCCTTTACCTTCGCCGATTTGGGGCTCGCTGCTCCTCGCGATCTGTGCCTCCTTCGAATCATTGCCGGTTGTACCATATAATTTGCGTCGATTTGATGTTAATTTTTATTGATTATATTTTATTTCATTAAAAACAATCTTAACTATAATTTTTTGCGTAAAACATGCCTCCATTAACTATCCGTTAGTAGCCTAACGGCAACCCAAAACTCATAGATTTTAGTAAAATTGAGATTATTAAGCATCATAATGAAAGGTGAAATATTATTGAATCACAGAAGTCTTAGACTCTTAGCCTCAACTTCTTACAAAAAAACTTAAATCACACAAGTCTTATACTTTTAGCAACCTCAACTCAAAGAACAATTTGAGTTTACAATAACACAAGAATGAGAGGCTCACATAATGAGCAAGTAATGTTTAAAGAGTATAGCTCTAATGGATGACAAAATTGATGTTATTAAATTTATCTTGTTAAAACTTTTATAATTTTATTTTATTATACTAATATGCAATACAAATTGAGTGTAATTGTAGCTCAAAATTTTTATAGTTTGACTCAAAAAAATCAAATTAGATACATATATTGGGACGGAGGTATGTAATATATCATACATTAGCATGAGAATTCATATTTGTTAAGAAAAGCACTCCCTCCGCCCCCCTATAGATCTTCTCATTTTGTGATAACATTATCTTTAATTTAATTTATTTGATTATAGGTGTAAAATTTTAAAATTATATATATATATATATATATATATATATATATATATATATATATATATATATATATATATATATATATAATGCAGGAAGTGTAACACCCTAATCCGTCCAGGTCTGCAACTCCTTTTGGACTAAAGTATTAACTTGGTAATAGTAAAAATATAAAACATTTCAAACACTTTTATTTATCACAATAATAATTTTTCATAACATAATCAGTACGGAGTTTTCAATATTGCGGAAGCTTAACAAATCATAATCACAAACATAATTTATTTATGTTCTTTAATTCAAAACCATCACATCTATTCCGACAATCTCGCCTCCGTCTGCCTCCAGGATCATGTCACTTCATTAACCTGCGTGTAGTATGTAGATAAAACATACTACACGCTCAGCGTTAAAGCTGAGTAAGCATATCTAATGCGTCGAACATCCATATAAACTAAATCTAAATTCATAATCAAATCATTTGATATCATGCACATAATGTTCAGTTCGGATATTCAATAATCATTAGTCAATATTCATCATTCATTATTCAACATTTATATTCACATTCAACGTTCATCATTTTTTCATAATATTCACAATATTCAATTCAATAAGCATCATTCAATATTCATTCATATTCAATATTCAACATTCGACAATATCCTTAAACTGTTCTTAGTCTAAGGCCAATCACTTTAATGTTTATCAACCCTTAAACGAATTCTAGTTTAAATAATTAAACTATACTCCAGTATAAAGTACTTCTAAACAATCCTTAAGCTAGGCCTAGTTTAAGATAAAAGGGTTTTAAAAATCTTAAACTTACCTTCACTTAAGGCCAACCAGAAACCGACAACGTAGTGTTCACTATTGGGTGGGTGGTACCCCCAAACGAGTAGGTACTCAAGTTTGGTTCTTGGATCCTGTAAGTATGTTTTAACCCTAGTCACCGGGGTTCATACACGCAAGGCCTAACTTAAATGGGTATATCTTAGAGGTCTTCTAGATACCTTTCAAATCAACATTAATATGAGTATATCTTAGAGGTCTTCTAGATACCATTAACAATACATATTATTTTCAATATATTCATTATGATTTAATCATTCAAAATTAGAATATTCATCAAGATTTAATCATCATAATCATCAATCAACATAATATTCAATAACAATTAGCGACCTAGCTTTGGGTGTTAACACCCTAACTTACCGTCATGCATCACATAACATTTTTATTTGTTAAAAACATCACTTTTATTTTGAAAAATCATTTTTTAAATGATCATAATCAATTGGTATCAAAAATTTGATTTTAGAGCTCAAAAAATAGCATTTTCAAACAAATTTTCGGATCAGATTTTCGGGGGATCGATCCGGCCCTTTGGATCGATCCACACTAGAAGAAAAACTCCCATAGGATCGATCCAGGCTATAGGACGATCCAGACAGTGGCTTTTCAGCCACTGTTCATCGTCTTCTACAGTTCTACCTCGCGACTCCAATTTCAAAAATTCCATTTTTAGTTTTCAAACTTCAATTAAACTATATAGAAATGTTCTCCAAGGTTCATAGATCATTTTGGAATCATTAAATCATAATTTTAACATCAAATTTAAGGTTTATGATTCTTAGTCCTTCAAACATGTCAAAACACAAAACTCAACCAAACGACCGTTTATGAACATAGAAACGATCTATACGAACATTCTAGTCACTAGATATATCTACGGGCTTACCTCGAAGCTTAATGGAGGTTTTGAAGATTTTCCAGCAAAACTTCCAGCGACTATATCTTCCAACTCCGACAATCTCTCACCAATTTGACAGCACCATAACACTCCTCACATTCTCAAAAATAGAATGGTATTAAACTTATTGAGTTTTGGTGAAAAATGGGGAGAGTGAAGGTGGTTTATATAGGAGAGAAAGTGAAGAAGAAGCCAATGGTGATGTACGCATGTAGTTCCTGCTTTGGCGTCTCGGTGGGAAGGGCTGCGATATTCATGATTCCAAACGCAAGTCCCGGATTGGGACTAATTTGGTCGCAGTCGGGGAAAACTTTTTGATCCAACTTTCTCCGAATTGAAATCCGTTTGCACCGTTATGATCGTACAATTAAACTCTATCCAACGATATAATTTTCATATTTATTTGTAATACTTTTTCCGACATCATATTTTTGGGTGGTTGACTTTGACAGAGTCAAAATTGATTTATTTGACCTTACTCAAAAAGGTCCTTACATTTCATTCATATTATTTACTCTCATGATTTATTTCAATAACTCATTTCAAAATTCATATCATAAACAAATTTCTTCATTTATCCTTGATTTGAGTTTGTACTCAGGTTTCCAATTAAGGCCACACAATAAGTCAACATATTGGATTTATCTCTATGAGACTTATCCAGATTTTGATATTGGATATTAAAACATATTTCATTTCGGCCCAAAGCCCAATAACAATTATTATTATTATTATTACTATTATTATTATTATTATTTCTAATCAAAACATTTTGATTACTTGATTACTTATTTATTAATAATTCTAGGGTATGTTTTGGGGCATTACAGAAAGCAGCTACTAATCAAGCAGCCCCAGTCCCCTATCCCTATCCACATAATGACTTGATAGGGGGGGATTGTGTGGAATCCATCCAGCGGAGGCTTTTGGGTGGATCCCCCTTTCCCCCCGCCCATGCCATTCAAATGGCCCGGATTGACACCGAAGACCTCTTCGAGGCCAAGGTAGATATCTGTCGGGTCATGGCGGGTCTTCACCCAGATGGGGATTGAATGGGACGTGGTGTCTGGGCGCTCGCGAATCCTCGTACCTTAACGAGTATGTGTGTGTGTGTCTATATATATATATATATATATATATATATATATATATATATATATATATATATATTAAAATGATACATTAAAAGTTCAACAAACTAAAGTGAAATTTGTATTTAATAGTGGTAAAACACATGTTCTTTCTCAATTAAGTAGTTACACTTTTTTATTCCGTAAATAGTACTTGAATAATGCCTAATGGAGGGAACAGTGTCTAGTAATTTTGGACATTTAGTCTGAACAATGTCCAAGGTGCTTGACATTTACGTGAATAATGATCAGTGGATATTAAACAGTGGTACTACTTTGAGAAGTAAGAATATAGGGCACTACATTAAGAAACTTACTATGTTTTAGTACTATTTAAGTAAATTTCCCCAAAATAAAAGGTGACAAAACTATATTATTAATTATTTCATAAAATGAGTAGTAAATGTTAAACACCATGCACACCTCTAGAGGGAGTGTGGATAAAGGTGTTAGTTGCATAAATGGCCTTTTTTTGCAGAAGCGTTCTTGATGATATAAAGTCTCGACCAAAATCAATGCACCACATGATACCAAAGTGAAGAAAAATGACAAGAAACACAACAATATTTATATTGGTTTAGCCTAATACCTACATCATGTCCCTGAGCAATCGTGTTTGAGCCTTCACTATCAATCTGTCAAACTTAATAGAGAATTTGACAATCCGATACAACACGAGAACTTAATTCCACAAACCTTTTATCTTAAAACCGAAGTCTTGAATTTATAAGACTCGATCAGGATTTCTTCTACCCAACATTGTATATCACAAACGAGTAGGATTGATACATACCAACTCACTTGAGGTAATCCCAACATCAAGATGATTACGCCCTTTCTCAAAAGAAAGAAAACAAAATAACGTTACAGTACAATTACTCCCGCAATAGCGAATTGCTGCTATACAATGATCTCTTATGGAATATGGCACAATCTCTCAAAAACTCAACCAATAAGGTAGAACTCAAGCAAAGAAGAAACATGAGTAACACTGATCTTTTGCTTGGATGTGAGGAGATTGAGAGAAAAACTCTTTGAAAAACCAAAGAATATCTTAAAGAATGTGTCCTTGGTGTTCTATTAATAAACACAAATGGGGATCACTAGCCGTTGGGAAATTGAAATTGTCAATTTTGTCCTAATTATTCTTCAAGTTTGACTTTTAAGAAAACTCGACGAACTTAGAATCTTAATTAAATAAATGCGGCAATTATATCAAGTGTGAACATATTTTCATTATATTAGATCTAACATTAAATTTTTTTATTTCATTTAATTACGGAGTAATATTTAGTACGAATTAAGGGTAAATAACATTTAATATATTTTTCTAATTTTATTCAAAAAAATTAAAATAAATGAATAAAAAATTATTGTGAAGGATCCCATGCACAAAAAAAACGATTGAACTGTTATAAACATGGGAAATTTATTGAAGCTATTTAAAATAATGATGTCGCGCTTTAATTCATATTCAAAATTTCAAACCTCAATTTCTAAAAACATTATTCTCAAAATTAATCTTTGTCCTTTTCTTCTTTCCACGCAGTTTTTACATCTTTTCAACGACCCTTTTACATTAACTACCTTCATACTCCGTAGTTCATATTTACTACTCACTCCTGCAAAATATTTTACACTACTCTTCCAAGGAATTTGAAGAAATAAAAAGAATATTAGATAGAAAATAATGTTTCTCTCTTGGTTAAAAGAGAAAAGAAAGAAGAAGAAAAAAGCAAAAAAAAAAAATCTAAGAGTTTCATCTCTTTTCTCATCATAAAAAGTTATTGTTTCAAATAGTTTTAAAAAAATAGTCATATACTAGTAGTAATTACCATATCGGATAGAAATCTCTTCTCTTTTCTTTTTTTGTCTGTCTCAAAAAACTGCATTTTTAAAGAAAAAAATTGGTGGTTAAGAAAAATTTCTCTTTCTCTTGACCCATTTTAATCATACTTTTTTCATCTTCAACATTTTTACTAAAATTCATGAAAGTAAAAAAGAAAACATTTTTCAATGGGACACATGAAGTACGTATTACTCTCAGCCCTCTCTCCCCAACTTAAAGTCACATCTGTCTCAAAAAAAAGTTTACAAAATAAAGTTCACACTAGGCTTCTCTTGTTTCTTTTTTAAAGAAAGAGTATGTGCTCGAACATAATTTAATTTTTTTTCTCGCTTTCAAATAAATTCATATCAGACATTGTTCATATTTCAACATTTTTCTCTCTTAAACTCTATGAAGCCAAATAAATTACGAATTTAATTTAGGAACGAAGAGAAAATATACAAAAAATAGTGAACCACTAATTATATTTTGAACTTAAAATAGTACTCTCTCCCTCCCAAGAAAAACCTTTCCACTTTCACTATCTTTCTGTCCAAAAACATTTCCGTTTTCGACTAACTTTTTTTATCCCAACGTAACTACTTATTAACATATTTATTATACTTATTCATTATTAATATATTCATCACATCTTATCATATTCTACAATAAAATAAGAGTAGAATTGGAAAGTAAAATAAAAAATAAACTTTTATTAAATTTCATATTTTACCAAAATGGAAAAATTTTATGGGACAGAGGAAATATAAATGAAACATACACAGAGTGCTCTGTATTTTGTTAGTGAAAAATCAGATCCTATGAAATGGCAAATAATTGACATTCTTTAAAATGATTCTCTTGATATGACTTAATTTGTCTGTAGGATTATAACTAGGATTGTTCCCCTTTTTCCCTTAAAAAAGAAAAAGGAACTGTTCATTTTTTTATAAATAAAAAAATATAGAGCATTTCATTAATGGCTCTAACCATTCGTATTTTAGTTTATATCAGTCAAAATAGGGTTCATGTTTACTGAAATTGATACAATACATTATTAATTGCGAATTATTAATTGGTCAATACAGTGTTCAAATGTTTAATTAATAGAGATTTTTTTTAAAACACGCAATTAATATTGTAAGATAAAGTTAATTCCCATGTACTATTCAAACATACGAAGTAATCCATTTCATCTCCCCTTATTTAAACACTCATCATATTAGTTCCCCATTATCCAACCAAATATAATAATTCTCTCTTTGGATACTACACTATATACTCCATGGATCCAAATACATTGTCATTCAACAATAATATTATTGTTCACCCCAATGATGAAAACATGATGAATACTCCTTGGTTATACATTGATGATCATCAATATACTTCTCAATTGTAAGCACTACTTGAACATATATATTATATAAGTTTTATGCAATCTTTTACATGTCATATTTTTATATGGCTTACTATATATTCTTGTTCATATGTAGGGTAACATGGGAACAAGAGCCCGGATTTTGTGGGCCAACATGGGAGCAAGAACATGGATTCTGTTACGAGAATCACAACTTACAGTACGACTTATCCAACACTTTGGAAGGATTTATCGATTACTATCCTCTTGAACAGAGCCAGAAACCCGTCGTTCAAAATGGGATGGCACACTTCAAGATCGAGGACTTTGAAAGTATTTGTTGGGATTTGAGTGCGTGGAACTTGGAGTCGCCCACGGCGCCCACGCCATCATTCCAAGAAAACGGTCACTATTATTTAGACCACCAAGAAAGCGGAGGAGGAGGAGGGGGAAAGTCGTCTCTCATTACTTCAGAATCTAGTAACAACAACTACTGTCACGAGCAACGTGACGCGAAATATGAAGGTGGTGACGAGGAGGCGACAATGATGATGATGATGATGGTGAAGCGAAACCGCGCAATGAATTCGTGCAAGCCCGCGACGCTAGAGTTCGATGAGATCCAAAAGTACTTCGACATGCCCATCACGAGAGCTGCCAAGGAGTTGAAGGTCGGGTTGACAGCATTGAAGAAGCGATGTCGCGAACTCAACATCTCGCGATGGCCACATCGCAAGATCAAGAGTTTGAGGTCTCTAATCCACAACGCCAAGGTAATTAATCAATATAATTCTCGATCATCGACTTAATTATAATCGTCGTGTACGGAGATAAAAAGTAAAAGTATTTTTTTTTTTGTGATGAAATGAAATGAAATGGAAAATAGGAATTGGGAATGACAAAAGAGATAGAGATGTTGGAAGAGCACAAGAGGATGGTGGAGTGTATACCAGAGATGGAACTCACTGAAAGAACCAAGAAACTGAGACAGGCTTGCTTCAAGGCTAATTACAAGAAAAGAAGGACAACCACCGCCCAAGATTCTCATCAATTCTGATGGATTATTATTAGACTAGTTCATTAACTAATTAATAATGCCCACTTTCTTTTAATAATCTATGGTTTTAATTTATTATTATTACTATGATTTATCACTATATCACTGCTGTTTGATTTGTACTGGAAATATGGAGTATCAGATTAAATAAGAATGATCCATTAGAAATAATTTTGTTTCGGCCATACTTCTCTAATTACCTCATTAATTGATGTATTCTTCATTTCATATTATTCATAACTTTGAATTAATGTTTTATATATGGTGAAGGGGATATAAAATTGTATGTTTTGTTAATTAAAACTAGATAAATGTGTTTTTTTTACATCATTGCCAAGAATATAATCTAAGATATACTAGTTACGGTGGGGTTCTAGTGACACCGGAGTACGGTGCCACTAGCGGTGCTACTGCATTTTTGGAGCACCTCCGGTGCTCCATTCGCAAAATTGACGATTCCCAACCCCCCTAAACCCCACACCTTACCCCCGCCCCTGTATCTCCACCCCAATCCCGCCGTAAGCCCCCCACAAAGTGTATTGGGGACTTACGGCGGGGTTGGGGCGGGGGTACAGGAGCGGGGGTAGGGTTTGGGGTTTAGAGGATGGGTTAAGGGGGTAGGAACCGTCAATTTTGCGAACAGAGCACCGGAGGTGCTCCAAAAACACAGTGGCACCGCTAGTTGATACCGTACTCTGGTGTCACTAGAACCTCACTCATACTAGTATGTATTTTGCAAAACTATTTCCTACCTAGGATAGTCATATCACTCATATATATTAATGTTAACTTTTGAACTTGAGAAAACAATAAAAATGCTTTGGAAAAAATTACTCCGTATAGTAGTTTATAGGGGAACATATCAAGAAACCAACTTTAAGAATTTTATATTCTAACACATTCAACTTCTAACCTATTAGTAAAAAGAAATTTTGACATCAAGTCTTTAGAAACCAACTCGGTCAACTACTAATAGGTTATGATCAACTTAAATTTTCTTCTATACTTATTTTCTTTGATCATTTGACACTAATATAATCATTTTACTCTTATTTTATAAAAATAACTTTAACAAATATCGTAGTTCGAAATGTGAATTGTTTTTTATAGGATATAGGAAGTAGTTTTGTATTACATTTCATATGATAGGGGGACTCATTGGAGCAGCATAATATGATGTTTTAAGCGGGCAAAAGAGAATATGGAAGGGATGGAGAAGTATTCAGTCCAAAACAAATGTTGAAATCCAGCATAAATTTTAGAGAAAATCCATTGCAATATACACCCTCCAAATTGACTATATCGAAAACCAATTCAAGTCGAAAATCTAGTTTAATACTCGTGAGACTAAAACATGAAATTTATATCAGAATCAAATCGACTATATCGAAAACCAATTCAAGTCGAAAATCTAGTTTAATACTTGTGAGACTAAAACATGAAATTTATATCAGAATCAAATCGACTATATCGAAAACCAATTCAAGTCGAAAATCTAGTTTAATACTTGTGAGACTAAATCGAATCGATTATATTTTGTGCCAAAATAGTTAAAGACTATCTATCCATTCCCATCTTACCTCTAATCTCATTACGATTCGCTACATCTCATTCCCTCTGCCAATTTCTTGACCTTCAACTTAGAAACCGAAACAACCCCCACCACCCCAAACCGCCACCACACTGCTAGCTGTATCAGCTTACGCAACACAATAACTTCAATCCCAAAAATATAGACAATGGCGGTCCATAACTACTAATATGATTTCGCAAAAATCGCAACTTCGTGTGCCGAATTACCAGTCAACAAACACTTCTTCGGCCCCTCAGGCTGCTCGAAAGGGAAGCATCGAATTGTTGCTCCCGTTTCTTCTTTCACTTTTAATTCATCGCTGTCGCTATAACATTAAATAAAATAAAGTATATGACTCTGGGTTCATGGGGCCGGGATCCTTTGCCTCCAAACCGAATCCCAATTCCCTGTCCTACCAATCACAATTTGACAAATAACTCACCCCACCTTCTCATTTAACACAAACTCAGCTTAGAGTGGGGTGGGTTATGTGTCAGATTTTGATTGGTGGGACAGGGAGTTGGGACACGGTTTGGGGACAGAGGATCCCGACCTGTGTTCATGGTGGGATTGAGAAAAACACCATTGCTTGCTACAACATTCTTTATGGCTCTACAAGATGATTTGGATAGTACAAAGTATAGGAAAAGGAAGGTGGGACTTTACCTGGCTGACCACGGTCCTCTTGCCCATTTACCCTGAGATATTGCCTCCTTTAGCTCATTATAAGAGCAAACATCCACAATGTTACTACAAACATATTTCAAACATGAGCAACTCCATTCGTTAAAACTTGAAAGCAGAGAGTTCAAATATAAATCAACACACTACCCCATAAAACATAAATATTCCCTCAAAATATTTATCGCCATGAAACATAGAGCTGGCAATTAATTAAGTATTACGATGAAACATAGAGCTAGCAATATCTTTTGAATTTTTAATTAATTTCTAGAAATATACATTAATATTATAAATAATATAAAATATATAAATATGTACACTTATATATATATATATATATATATATATAAAAGATAACAACACAATATCATTAAAAACGCATTTGAAAAAATATGTTTGTACACTAAAACGGAGTAATAAGAAAAAAATATAATATAACATTACTTTTATCACATTATATTTAAAACTTCAGTACATGACTTTGAAAAAAAACATTACTTTAGCAGGTGATCGAATTTGGTTCTATCGGGTTTAACCCATTTTTAGCAGATCATTTTAGGTTCAGTCATCATCATATTTGATTAACAAAACCATTGTTCAGAACCCAGTATATTTGGGTCGGTATCAAGTCAAAAATAGGTTAGAGCCATTTTTGTCAAGGGTAGTGAAACTTGTTCAGTTGTTCATACATTCGCGTCATGTATGCCAAAGACTTTGTGGTCCAGCAGCATAACTGTCTCTCCCAAAGAGGTCACAGGTTCAAACCCTAATGGGAACATTAACTCTTTGTGCTTCAGTTGGTTGACTACATTGTAATAGAGTTAATAGTACTCAAAAAACATTTGCATCGTGTATTAAGGCAAGCTTGCTAAATTCCACATCACCAAAATGTGAACATACAAGCTTAAGACACATTAAGAACCTATTTGAGGCACGTGACTCAAGAGCACAATGCACAAAGAATCAAAGATTAGTATTTTCCATATTAATAATGCAAAAACCCAAACACATAATAAACACAATCCACATTAAAAATAACACCTAACTGCCTAAAATACTTAAGATGATATAGAATTTGTAGTTTAAACTTTTAAAGTATGCAACTACAAAATTTCAAAACAAATCAAACAAGTTTCGCCAAACATCCGACTACAAAATACTGGTAGCAAGTGAAAGAAGTAAAACAAACAGATCAATCACCATGCAGTAATTCATTCACATATTACATGACATTCCCTGCAAAAGAAAAGGTTGGGATTACTTACCTATCTCGAAAAGATATAGCTCTTTCCAAAAGTGATGATTGAACCTCAGCCAATTTGGTTTTTACATAAGACACTAGAGTTGACTGTTCCATTGAAATACCAAAAGCTTTCCCCTGCTTCCCTGGAACATCTCGTCTAGCGATGACTACACTTCTACTTGAAACGTCTCGAGGTCCAATCTCAATTCTGAGAGGAACTCCCTACTAATAAGAATGCTTGTTAGAGAAATAAGCCAGCATGTTAAATATACCTTGCTGCACAGTGGATCAGTCATATATTTTATCTTTTTTTCTTATATCTTAAACGCTAGTACTCATACACTAACACACCTTCATTTCATAGAAGTTAAATTTCCATCCCGGCGTCTTCTGTTCAGAACCATCAATCTTAACCTTGATTCCTGCAGATTGCAGGATTTCTTTAACAGATGATGCAGTTGTAAGAACTCCTGTCTTTTCGTCATCTTTCTTCCATATTGGGATGATTATAACCTACATCATTAAACAGCTAATGTTTAATTCCTTACTGACCAGTCTCCAATGAGACAAGTTTGAAATGGAACAAACATTATAAAGAAACCATAATTTTCCACTTCAAAGGATTCAGGAAATACCTGTACTGGTGCTAAGCATGGAGGCAACATTAAACCAGCATCATCCCCATGTGTCATAATAATACCACCCACAAACCGACTGCTGATTGCCCAAGATGTCTGCCACACATGTTGCCTTAGCCCATTTTCATCGGTGAACTACAAGGATACAAAATGATGATGTAAGAAGACTCCGGAGTCCGGATTAGAGTTTTCGAAGATTAAATTTAAATATAGTGGAAGAAAGTTGTCACATTAGAAAGTAACTAATAATAAAGAAAATGACTCATTGGTAGAAAATGAAAACATAATTATAATCATGATCATTTAATAAGGAAAAATAAACTAAGAAACTAAGAAACCCAATGGCTGTAGAATTTCAAGTTCCTAAAGGTCCCTTGACAGAAGCTCAAATCAAGGTGACAAAATGACAAGTTAATACTGGTCCAAGTGGCTTCCAAAGTTGCCCCCCAAGCCAGAATGGGAAAAGGGATGTATGTACATTTTATTAACTTACCTAATCTAGCCACAGGGATGTGAATAATTATTGTCATGTGGTGAGGGGATTATGGGAGCAAACGATGGGAGTACAGAAGCATGAAGATATTGCTGCAGGCCAGGGCAAGGGCTCTGCCATCAAGCGGACATGGTGAAAGAGCGGTGTGAAGACCAGTAGACCCCTAATGAAGCCCATCGTATTGGGCAGAATATCACCTGGGACAACTGTCCTGGGTGATAGAGTTGTCTGTCCCAGTGCCCAAGCCACCACAATGGGCTTCTAATGCCACTATGGATCTCTGATGGGCTCCTCCAAACTAGTCACCAGCCCATTACCACGGCATATTTCTCAATTCTTCATCATCCACACTTCTCACATGTTACAACACAGCCTCCTAAAAAGTATGTTTCCCAAATCAGAAGTTCCCGTCTCCAGTAGCTTAATCAATAGTCGTTTTGAGCTATTCTTTTTCAAGCTTCCATGATATGCTATTAACCTTTGATCTCATAATAGTCAATGTCGCAATCCTCTCATTGAGTTTTCATTGCGAACATCTGTGTTTAAATTGTGTCCCTGGTGATTATGTCTATCAAGTTTCCTTCATTTGTAAGGAGAAAAAGATATGGCTTATTTGAGGTTTGAACGATATGTGTCGAAAGGTTCCCAGAGAATTGGAGATGAGGAAATTTTTGGCACCATGTCCAAAGGTTCCCGGAGATTTTAAACGAAAGATCTTGGCTCTTCTGAATTTGGTCGAAAAGACAAAGAAAGTGAGCGCAAGAAACTGGGAGGAGCTTATTGACATTGGTGCCAACTATCAAAGTGTGAATACATCCACCGGTTCATCAAGCGGTTGGAGCAACTCTCAAAGAAGAGTCGGGGTCCAATAGATGTAGGAAAGGCAACATCGGGCAATGTTTTAAGAACGGATGGCATTTTTTGCATGTGTGAATCTGAGTTCGTCGCCTTCGGGCAATATTTTGTATTATCTCATGCAAGACTTTGCTGCGTTTGAGACCTTATAATATGAAAATATATTTCTTTAATGTTTATGGATTAATTATTTAGTTGTAATAGTGTTTTATGGATGGAGGGAGTATTCATTAAGACTAAGGCTTACGGCCTCACTTCCGCCTCACTACTCAAACCGCCTTGACCGCCTCAACATATTAAGGTGTACGCCTCACATAAGCCTACTTGGCTTACGCCTCTGATGCAAAAACCTTCCGCCTTGCTGCCTCTAGGCAGTCCGCCTTTTTGCTTTTAAACCATGCTATGAGATACATAATAGGGTTTGGGACTGATGCATACGAGATAAGTATACCCGATAACTTATTTCCCCTTCATCCCAAAAAATTCCCCCCATTTTTACTTGGCATGCTTATTTGAAAAAAATAAATTTGTGTTTATTTTGAAAGGAAAGAAACAATACAACCACATTTTGGTTTTGGGATGTGATGTATTAAAGCAAAATGGATCTCTAAAATGTCTGCACTTCTTTTATTATTGAAGTAGCACTTAGTCAATCAATGCAACTTTCGACGCTGAGCCGGTGGTCTCTTTGGAAACAACCTCTCTACTTTCGAGTAGGGGTAAGGTCTACGCACACACACCCTCCCCAGACCCTACTCTTGTGAGATTCAACTGGGCTGTTTTTGTTGTTGTTGTAGTGTTTTATGGACATTGTGAAACTTCAAAACACCTTGACGCTTAAGCCTTGATGGGAAAACGCCTCTTATACACAATAAGCCTTTGCAAACATTGTTTAAAACGGCATTAAAAGTTCTACGGACAAGATGTGACAAGACTATATTATTTTATTAAATGAATAATGAATATAGGCAAAAGAAGAGATCAAAGTTTGAATGTGTGAATAATGAGCAAGAAATTTTTTTCAGGACAGAATAAATAAGGATCCATCACATAATATGTCTACCAATACCATATCCAAACTAAGATGTCCTTTTTACAATGCTATTGTAATCTGGGCTTCAAAAAAAATCCATAAGTTTACTTTTTAAATAGGATTCACAAACCTGAGTTCCAAATGCTCGGGAAAAGTTCTGACCGAGATTGTGGCTAGTTCCTGCCTGCAAAGCCTTCTTGTCACCCATCATTGCCTCAATTGTGTAGGTCTTGGAGGCCCCAGCAAATGTCTCCACTTTTGATTTTCTACCTGCAATAACAGGTATTGCAGCTTGCTCGTAAGCAAATTTTGTATAGACATCAATCATCTGCATTGCCTGCAGTTAAGCAACCCAACTTATCAAGTGAAAACATGAATGCCAACAAAGTATTAAGAATTCCATTAAGGGTGGGGGGGGGGGGGG